TATCTATCTATCTATCTATCTATCTATCTATCTATCTATCTATCTATCTATCTATCTATCTATCTACTTAGGAGAGCTAGCTGTGGCATTGTAGATAGAGGGCCAGCACACAAGTCAGAAAATCCTGGGTTCAAATTCCACTTTTGACATTTATTGACTATATAACCCTGGGCATGACACTTAACTTCTTGATGACCCAAGCAATTCTTTCTCTAAAAGTTGCACAGCAAATACCGATCTCATCAGTAGAGGGAGTTCCCTATACTGATAAAAATCACAGGTCCAGTCCAAATACATAAGAGGCTATTAACTTGACAAACTTAGACCAAAGATGTTTCTATAGTTCTTACAATTACAAGTCAAAGTCAACAAGTATTTTTTAATCCTTAATGTTCCTGCTCCTAAGTTATAACAGGACAAGAATAAAATTTCAAACCCTTAGAAGTGTAATTGTGCTTAACAATGTATGCTAGTGAGGTTAAAGGGTGGTATATCTTCATGAGGGGAAAAAAAGGAAAGAATCATGCTATTGCATACGCATTCAAGAAATGAATGACTAAATTGGTGCAAATGAAAGGTGGTAAGGGTGTGTATATATGCCTAAGTGTAGGGCAGGGTGAGGATGGAGAACTTCAAACCAAATTAAGTAAGCATTTTAGCAAAAGTAATTAAAAAGCAGCTGTGAAATGGAGAAAAGTTGCATAGTAAAGCAAAACATTAAGTTCCTTATTGGATTACTGGATTTAGGAACTTTGAAGCATACACTACTTCTGCATCTCACATGTTTAGAGACATTTAGAGAAATTTTCATAGAAGTAATTGGAAACTTGAAAGTTTATTTCTTTTCTAATTAAGTTTTCCCCCTCTTGGATGAAAATATGTAAAGTAATAAAGGGATTTTAAGAAGATAAATTTTCAAGTAAAACATTGAAATGGATTGTAATATTGACTTTCACCTTAAGGCTTGTTTTTTTTTTTTAAATGGACCATTTACCAATGGATGATGATGACGATGATGATGATGGTGATGATGATGATGGTAATGATGATGATATCCACATTTCTCTAACAGTTATATGCCAGGCACTGTGTTGAGTGCTTTAGAAATATTATCTTATTCAATCGTCAAAACAATTGTGGGACATAGGTGCTAT